ATTTGAGCCCACTTATTCCAGTCACTATGTCAATCCATCTTTGTTGAGGGACTTCCTCTTCCCAAGGACTGGCCTTCCTAACAGTATGTGAGACCAAGTTTCACCATCTTTGACTATAACGTGCTGGTGGTACCTTCTCCAAGAAGGAAGACTCCTATTCTCAATTCACATGCAGGGCAGAGGGGCCTCCTCTCCAAGGGATGCACAACTCTCCTCCCCCGGGAGCTGAAGCTGCTCAGCCAGCTCACTGCAGACCTCCTAGCCTGCTGCACAGCCGCCCTGAGGTCTGGCTCGGCTGTCATCTGGCATAGGTAGCCATTAATTTCACCCTTTCTTTTGCAACATCAGGCTCCCGTAGAGGAGCAGAGAGCTGGTAAGCTCACTTTTGAACAGCAGGTCTGAATGAAATATCGGCCATCTCCTGCTTTTCAAAAGTTCGCTTTACTGCATTGAAAAACAAGGAACTCATCCAATATTATTCAAAATGGTTGACTCTGGAGAACATTATGCTGAGTGAAATATCCCAGTCACAAAAGGACAAATATTGCATGATGCCACTGTTGTAGAATGGGACTAACCTCGGGGTTGGGGAGAGACTGAGTAAGATGGGTTCAATAATGTATACTGCACTGAAACAGAGGAGGGAGAAAACTGTTTAAAAGAGATATGTGACTAGGTATTTCTGTCATCAAAGGAGTCTAGAGCAACGGCTACATGGTGGAGGGGACCTGGGGGAGGGTTTGTAAAACAATGAAAGAATCTTTTCTTTTACTTTTCCATAACTTTTGACTCATGTACTTGTTAGTTAAATTTGTGTCTTCTAGGTTGCAACACCCCCATGATACATCTTCAAGGATATGGACATGGACGGCTAAGCACAATTAATAACAGTGCATCTAAATTCCAAAATCAATCTCCATAATAGTCTATGTGTTTCCTACTGCCAAAGGGGCCCTTTAGAGTAGTGAGAGAAGTTCTTCACCCTGAAACCCACAGCGTCCCTTTTCAGCAGAAAGTAGCTAAAAGAATACGCCATCCCCTTTCCCTTATGAATCAGGGTGAATTCTCTCTCAGGGAGGAGTGATAGGGAATGGCAAAGGACACACTGACAAAGGAGATTAAACAGAACTGGCTTTGACAAGCACTGTGGCAATTGGACAATTAAAACAGACATTCGGAGGGCGGGGGAAGAAGAAGAAACTGGGGAAGAGGGTAGAGAGAATGGTACAGCAATGAAGGAATGAAAACCCAAAATCCTTGTAAATGTTCATTAATACTAATAAAATTTAGTAAAAAAAAAGTTCGCTTTACATCCATTTGCTTTTATAGAAGACTGGGAAGGATTTTTGCTTCTCTGAAGAAAGGCAAAGAGTAAAACTAGTGTCGAGAGTTGGTTTCATAGTGAGCCATTAAGCAGGGTGAAGTCACCCTTCAACATCTCAGAATCAAGTTGTCATAGCTTTGAACTCTATGAACATTATGCTAGTGAGTATTCTTTTTCAGGCTTTATGTGATAAATTGATATGATATGGTAGGTGATTTTTTGGATCTGGGAACACTCAGAGTTTTCTTATAAAAATTAATGGTAATCGCTTCCTCACTTTACGACATTTCAGCTTACAAAAAGTTTCATAAGAATACCCTACTTCTAGACAACAGAAAAAAAAGTGTCGTCTCACTTCTAAAGATGCAGCTGTATTTGGACAGAGAGTCGGTCTACTCAAGCCTCAGTTAACCCACTGAGAGGGGACATTCCTAAAACAGCTGCAGTTTAAAATCAAAGGGAATCATGTGGAGGGCTGGTTAAACAGACTCGGTCCCCACCCCTAGGGCATCTGCTTCAGAAGGTCAGAGGTGAGCTCAGAATGCGCATTTCTAATTGGCTCTCTGCTGTAGCTGATTGAGGGATCCCTTGGAGAACCACAATGCTGAATTATCAATGCACAGGCAACAGGAAGCAGGTAAGCAAGTCTAAAATACAGGCCTTAGATGGGTTTCCCTTAGAAAGCTGCTCCAGTAAGTCACAATGGTTGAGAAGTCTAATGCTGCTATTTGGCTTTCTTCTAAGAAGTTCTTTCTGGCGTTCCTTCCCTAGGAAGATGCTATCCACTTCTCTGCCCTTTCATTGAACCTGAACCAATACCCAACCAGACACTCCTCGTCCAATCTGTGGGGTGCTACGGAGCCCTCTTCTCTTTACAAGGCTGCCAGAGGCAGACATGGGCCTGCGCCCTGTCACGGAGCCAGGAAGCTCCGACTGGCTGCACCTTCACACAACCTTGAATGACTTAGATGTAAATTCTTCTAAAAAACTTAGAAGCAGACAGTCCCAGTCTAGCAGGGGTTAAGGCATCTTTCTCACATAACTATGTCCAATTTAATTTGCACCCTTATGGGCTTACTCTTGGAAGCCTCCTTGTTCTGTGAGCACTGCACAAACCTGTGCTTTCTTAAGCTCCTCTCTGCAAGCTTCCCACCAGTCCTTCCCAGAGAAGTGGGGACACCAAGGTGTCTTAGGCGCCTTGCACTTCCTTTTCCTCCTCTCCCACTCAGCTCTCTCTGTCCCCTTCACTGGAGACTTGCCGTGGCCTCTCTCCAGGCAAAGAAGTCACAGCAAAGGACCCTCTGCTTCTTTGTTGTGGGAATGACCCCATTTCATCTGGCTTTCGTAAAAAAACCAAAAACCAAAAAAAACCTAAAACCAAAACAAAACAAACCCCCCCCACACACACACACACAAACCAAACAACAAACTGTCTTTTGACCCAGGTTTCTTGAGCACACAAGTTTCAGAGCTCCCACTCTTCTGCATTTATTTAGTTTGGGGATATTAGAATCTCAGTTTTCAGTAAGGTGGGCAATTTTGACTGAAGGCAGCTGTCAAGAGCTCAAATTAGAAGAAACCTTAGCCATCTGGCACGACACTGTGGCAGCTATCTGTTTTATCTGCCAGGTTTGAGTTACCAGTCTCTGAGCCAACAAGAAATGGGTTTCTTGGAAACAAAAGTGAAGGAATTCGGGTTGTGAATTATGTAACCCACCAGAGCTTTCCGCAGACTATGCCGAGATGCTTTAAAATATGCACAATATATTAGCTTTAAAGACAGCAATGAACAAACAAGCAGCACCCAGCACACTAGGCTCCCTTCTAACTCCTAAGTACTTCCCACTAGCACTTCTCCTCCCCCCCCCCACCACTCTACTACAGCCCTAAAAGTTAACAAGTGCTGTCACTTTAAGAGCGGGAAGGTGTTGTTTTAATGGTCTCTAAGCCCCCCTTCTCAATTTCAGTTGGGAGCTGAGCTCACATCCCCCACCAAAGACAAGGGACAAAAGCCACTGATGAAGCCATCTGATAAAACTTCCAATGGGATCTTTATCTAGACCAAACCGAAATGAGCACAAATTGCCGGAGTCTGCTACTCTGAAGGGAGGGGGAGGTTTTTCATGAAGAAGAATAATTTCTACTTCATGTTTTAATTTGAGGGAGGGATGCAGACTAGTCTTTTGGACAGACCTTTCCTAGGATAAACAGAGGGGTTTTTTTGGGGGGCGAGCTTGAAGCTGCAAGACCCGCTGTGGAGATTTTCTTAACAGGCGTGCGGCCTCTCGGGGGCACCAGTCCCTCCCTGCATCCTGTCCTTGGCCTCCCCAAGGAATCCAGGCCATGGGGCAGGTTGGGCCCTCCCGGGCCCGCACAGCTGCGGAGTGAGCGACTGCATCCCAACCGGCAGACGACGCCCCCTCAACCCCCAGGGGCTGGGCTGGGGCAGGAGGGGTAAGGTGATCCTTCTTCCCCTACATAAGCCGTAGCCCCCACCCCCCCTAGGCTGAGCGCAGCTCTGCCAGTTCCTTAACACACAGTACGAGGAGAAAAAAAACCCCAAAATCAACAAAACCCAACTTAAAACCAGAGGCTAACTCAAGTCCTTTCTTGCAAAACTGTTTTGAGCGTGACTATGACTCCAGTGCAATAGCCGTGCACAGAGGAAGCCCTCATTTTTTGCAAAAAAAGGGGAAGGACATCTCTGAACCCCGCAACACAACACCCAGCAGATCCTGCCTTGCAACAGGGTCCAGTTGGCTCAGGACACTTTGTCTTTAGCATGAGAAAAATGGGTATAAAGAGTTCAACTTGCTCTGCTCGCTAGTGAGAAGCATATGGCAAAAAATGAAATCAAGTTTGACGAAACACTGCAAAGAAAACAGACCAGGGATTTAAGTTTCGTGCCTCTCCCCCTCCCCTCGAAAAGGGGAAAAAAATGTAAAGAAACTGGAGCGTTCGGGAAGGAACAAATGCTTCTCTGTGGAGTTGGGCTCCCTTCCCCCAACAAAAACAAGAGGTCCGGGCTCGGAGGAATTTGAAGGCAGCGATCTGCCAAAAACATTGTGAAAAACTATGGGGGATTCATTGAAAACAGATGGGCTTTTTCAGCTTTAATTCTGAAATTCTCTCCCTTTCTGACACAATAAAAACAAACAGGAGCGACACGGGACGTTATCATACAGCAATCTGGCCTCGCCTGAGTCGGGGCCGGGGGCTTCCCCGCCGGGAGGTGCGCACGGCGGGACCGGGTCCCCGGGGAGGGGCGCTCAGCGACAGCCCTGGAACGTCGGTGCGGCCTCCCACCCCAATGCCGAGCATCGGGCTGGCTGGCAGGCTGGTGAGCGAGGAACCGGAGCAAGTCACCCCGGCCCCGAGTGCGCGCTTCCCGTGCGCGTCCTCCTTCCGGGTCCGCACGGGGCGCGATCCCCGTACCGCACTCTCAGAGGGCGACCGGGGACCGGCGAATCCCCAGTCCCAGCGGGGTCCCTCCCAGGGTCCCCACAAGCACCCTGCGCTTCATTAGCGGGGCGCAGGAGGAAACAAAGACCCCGAGGAAATGGGAGGCGAGGGTTGGAGACTGGGATCTCCAACTTTGGCCTCAACTCGCCGGTGGCCCCACGGCCCAGAGTCGGGGGAGGGGGGGTGTCCCCGTCGGCCAGGGGCGGTGCCTTACCTGCGGGGAAGCTGCAGAGAAGGACGGCGAGGGTCGGCCAGAATCCCAGGGCTGAGCGTCCTGCCCCTCTCCCCATACCCATCCATCCAGCTCGGCCGGTTACCACTAGCCTCTCCCTGGAAGAAGAGTGGAGAAGAAGGGAAGACGCAGATCAATCACGCTGCCGAGAAAGGCCGCCTCGGCGGACGGGCGTCCGGCCCCGCGCCCCTCCCCGCCATCCATCACTCGGTCCCCTTCCAATGTGGACTCGGCCCCGCCGCCCCCGCGCCGCCCCGCCTCCGCTCTCGGGTTTCAGCGCCGCCCGCGGGGGAAGGCAGCCCTCGCCTGCAAACCCGGGGAGCCCTGAAGTGCAGAGCGCGCCCCGGCTCCCCAGCTGCCGCCAAGCCCGGGGCTTCCCAGGCGGGGAAAGCCAGGCTCCCTGGACGGCCGAACCCCGTAGGGCGATAGCGCCCACGCACCCCAATATACAACCCAAGTAGAAAATCTGCTTGGAGACAAGCCTCAGCCCCCTTTCTGAAGTCCCGAAGCCGCCGCCGACATCCCGGTCTCTTTTCTATCTAGCACAATGTCCTGAGCGCTGGTGGTGTTAAGTGGTCTCAAACCGCGTTCAAGCTGTCTGGGGCTGGGGTCGGGATCTCGGCTACTGACCGGGACCTACCGCGGGACCGCTGGACTGGGCCGCCTCCAGCTTCTACCCCACTAGCCCCGGCAGCACCCCGCTGTTGGCTGGAGGAGGCGTGGATGCCGTGGTGCCCTGGCACTGCTGCCCAGGAGACCCGCAAAAGCCCTCTGCAGAGTGCATGAGATGGTGACGTCCTTAACTTGGCTGCTTATTTTTCCAACAGAAAAAATGTCTCCTTTCTAAGATTCCCTAGACACTGCATTCTCGAAATGTTGGACTGTTTGAAGAACAGAGGGTAACTGCCGCTGAGAAACAGCTTTTAGATGAAACACAAATAAACCAGAGCAAGTGTTTTCAGTCAAACGCATTCCTTGCATGGCCTCTCTCATCCCACCTCCAAGCTTAAATACAGTTTAGGGTTTTTATCTGGTGTAGCTGTTTCTCTTATGCTCTGTCTCTATTGCAATCCTTCCCTGTCATGAAAGGCAGAAACAGGGCAGGGCTGGACCTGCGTGGGGGCCCCTGGTTGCCAAGAGCAGGCTGGACAGAAGCAACAGGCTGAGGGAAGGCATGTGGGCTATGTCTGTGAGGAGATAACCAGGGGTCACTTCCGGGGCTGATGAGTAAGAAACAAGGGAGCTCACACCTGTCCTGTGAAGCAAAAGGGAAGTGTTGTTTCCAGCTACCAGCCAGGACGCTGGGAAGTCTGCAGTTAGAGTTTGAGTGGCCCTTTACTTCCTTCATGTATGCTGACACACCAGCTGGAGGGCAGTGGTGATTCAATGAGAGATTTCTTGCCTTCAGTTTCGAAGATGGAGGTTTGATTTCTGGCGGAGCACCACATGCACAGCCACGTGTTCATGGTCCTCTGTGTGTTGCTATGCTGCCCAATAGGGTTCACTAGCGTTTCCCCACTAAAATGGACTAGGAAGAAAGGCCTGGTGACCTACTGAAATTCTGCCAACTAAAAGCTGATGGATCCCAACCCAGGGAAGGCCCAGGACAGGACAGAATTTTATTCTGTTACACACAGTGTCAACAGGAGCTGGGGCAGGCTTGACAGTGGCTACCAATAAAGATCAACAGGCTTCAGTAATATTCCACCAAAACTGTGTTCATCTGGGGCACACAGGCTTGTCCAGTGGCCGTCCACTAGCTCAAAATCCAGGTCTCAAACAGTCATTTGTGTCCTTGGTCAGACTCCCAACAACTTATTCTGCAGTCACAGACAGCGGTTCTTTCCAATGGCAGCTCTGGGGACACTGACTCAGGCACAAAGCCAGCCGGCATTGAGGCACCTAGTGGCCTTTCCATCTCGCAGATACACCCATTACCTTCATCTGCTAACTCTGCTGTTCACAAGTGAGTTCTAAAGCTTCCTGCTGATGAGAACAGACTCCTCAGAGTCCCTAACAGTGACTAGAGTGGAAGAAACAGCCACCAGTGTTGTAGCATCTCCAGGCCGGAGGCCGCTGCTGCTTCTAGGTGAACATTCAGGATTCAGATGTCCTCTAAGCAGGCCCTTCTGGAGCTGCTCTGGCCCAAGAAGGGACCTCCGGAAACAAGATTTTCAACAGCTACACCTTGTTTCTTCATATTTATAAGGTGCAGGGTGACAAGCCAGCATCCCCAAATAACCCTATACAACTGAGAGTTTCAGTGTCCAGGTTCAGGTAATGGTCACCATTTTGGGAAGGAGATTTTAAGTTTTGGTGTATAAGCACATAATTTGGGAAGAGACAGAAAGCAGGTTTGCCTGCCTGCCTGCCTGCCTGCCTGCCTGCCTGCCTGCCTGCCTCCCTCCCTCCCTTCCTCCCTTCCTTCCCTAAGGATTACACACACACAGTTTAGACTATCTGGAGACATCAGCCTATAATAGAACAGTATGGGATGTATCAACCTTGAGGAATCTGTTCTATACTGACTAAAAGCAAGGAGCTTACTGGGAACTCCCCACTCTCTGCAAGAGAAAATTTTTAAACCACTGGATTTGGGAACTCAGCAATCCATTCGCCATAGAAACTTCATTTCCCCAAAGTGTAGTTGGCTTCAGAGGCTCTGGGTGGCTGATGTACTCAGCTGTTAACGGCAATGTTAGAAGTCTGAATCCACTCTTGGAAGAAATACCTGGCAATCTACTCCCCATACTTCAGCCATTTAAAAACCATGAGAGCACAGGTCTCCACTGACAGCTAGCTTCTCCTCTCAGGACAAGCAGTGGGGTATGTGACTTCAAACAAATCACCTCAGAGTCAACCACCTGCTCTTTCTTCCCAAGGCTGGCACTGAGCCCTGGGATGGTTGGACATCTCCCACCCCCGTTTGGTCCCTGCTCTTTTTTCTCAAATCCTGGCTGTGGGGTCCCCACTGCTAATGGGAGTTTCAGCAGGGGGAGAGAGGGGTGCTTCCACCTTTAAACCCTTGCTTAGAGGGAAAAAAAAACCCTCGAAGACATAACCACTAAGTTGGAACCTTCTCACAGCTAACTTTCCATTGGATTTCACACGGTCACAGGGTCACAGGGGAGGAGACTGGCCATCTTTTTCCGGCAGAGCAATTCTGAAGGCCTCAGAAGCCTACTTAGTAGTGACTCCAGCTTTGTTTGCCTCTGGGTAGGCACAGGGTGTTCCCAAAGGCCAGGCCCACTTTACCAGTCAACATTTGGCACCTAGGGCGTTCTGGTGACCTAGTGGTAAGAATCTGTACTGTGCTGTAGTCCCAAAGGCACATGGTTCTAATCTGCCAGCTTCTGTTCTGGAGAAGAATGGGCAATCTCCTTCTGTGTGATTACCGCCTCTGAAAACCTGCTGGATGGTCTGCTATGGGTTGGTTCCGACTCGATGGTACACAATAACAACTGCAAGCCAGGCACTGACTGAGACCCTGGGTTATCTCCCCAGAAGTAAACTTTGGTCTCCTCTTTCAGAGGGCTGGGGAAAAAAACAAAGGAATCAGTGAGAAAGGACAGGCTGGTGGCTAATCCTGAGGAAGGCATGAACTGACAGGCCGTATTTGCAAGGCCTTGAAGGATTCCTTTGCAGTAATAATGACAGTAGTCACAGCTAGTATTTTGATGAGCACTTACACTGTGCCAGGTGCCGGGCAAACACTTCACACTCACGTCTGGATTCTTTACGCTAAGGTAGGTTCTATCATCATCCTCATTTTCCGGGTGAGGAAATCGAGGCTGAGCATGCTTAAGTGCTCCCCTCATTTGCTGGCTAATCACTGGGGGAGCTGAGCTGTGCAGGCCCCATGCCTGGCGTGTTCTGTGTCTGTCACTCCCACAATGGTGAGCAAGGCTACGGGGCTTAAAAAGTTGACACATCTGATAACTCATTAATTGCCATCAATAACGCATAACGCAGAGGCGCCAGAGCCACCAGCTGGGTCTGAGGTTAGGCTGTACCCCAGTGTGGGAGTGTGCCTGGCATGGGTAGGCAGGGATCCTGGCGCCGGGAAAGGATTCCTGGTACAATGAACACACCTGGTACAAAGGTGCGGCCCTCCTGGGGATGTGGAAACGTGTAAGAATGGCAATGGAGAGAGGGTGGAAGGAGAGAAAGCCTGGGAAAGGCTGTGAGGGGCCAGGGCGGGGGCTCTGCACACAGGTGGGATTTAGCACCTGGGAGTCCCACCTACTTTGTCAAGAAGGAGAAAAATTTATTCTTTTGAAAGACAGGTGGAACTGAATTTTAATCCCTGGGGGTGGGGGCTAGGCATCAGTGTACGTACACACACACACACACACACACACACACACACACACACTCCTTTTTTTTTTTTAAAAAAAAAAAGCTCCTCGGATGATTTATGTGTAGAGAATGGCATTTATAAAGTTTCTAGCAGCTGTTATCAGTCCCATTCCCAAGGCACTATTTTAATGTCAGAAGGTTTTAATTTGGTTGATTTTCTCATAGTAGATTGCCAGGTTTTTCTTCCTAGTCTTAGCCTGGAATCTCCGTTAAAACCTATTAAATATCACCACAGCCAGCAAGCCTCCACTGACTGACAGGTGTGCCTGTACGTAAGACACCTTGTTCAGAATCAAATTGGGGCTCTCCTGTACAGGTGAAACTCTACTGCTGTTGTGTGCCATTGAGTCAGAACCAACTCATAACTGACCCTCCAGCATGTTTTCAGAGGCTGTAAATTACACGGGATGGGACTACCCATCTTTTTCTCTCAGAGCAGCTGATGGATTTGAACTGCTTGCCTTTGGATTGGCAGCACAACCCCTTACCACGAGGTCATGAGAGATCAACAGGATCTCTCAGTGGCAAGCAAACTGACAGTCTTCACTCAAAAATCAACCAGTAAGACCTTCTAGAAGATTAAGAGAACATCAACATCAATGAATTTTGTTGTTGTTATGTGCCATTGACTCACCTGGGACTCATAATTACCCTAAGTATAACAGCTCTGAACCTTGCCCTATCCTGAGCCAGTCTCACTGACTCCAACATACCTACTTCCATTACCCCAGTTATTGTG